TGCTTCAGTCTTATGATGCGAAATACCCCCCCTCCCCCCCCCCCCCCCCCCCAAAAAAAAAAGAGAAGATAATTATTATACTAATACTGGGATTGGGGCTACTCAGAGCACTGAGCACTTTGGGCAGAGAAATTAGTGCATGAGTTAAAGTAACGAGCTAGTTAACATAATTCCCCATTTTGCGTCTAACCCCTGGATTACCAGGTCCCAATCAACAAATTGTGCTTCCGCTAGAATCCGATGATCAATAATCTATAGACAAGTTTGTGGTATGATCAATATCGACTCAATATATCAAGAGGTGTCTGAGCAAATCAGAATTGAACCTTCTAACTCGGATGAGTGGTCACTTTAATTGGGTCACCAACCCTCATCAACCCTCTCATTAAGTCCTGTCATTCACACAACAGGGGGCTGGTGAGGTAGAATAGTCAAGGACAACACAGACACCCTTGACGGACGTCGCAGTATGCCCAGCACGGTTAATGTCAAATCCCAATATATTAAAATCCCCAGGTAAAGGGATGAGAGAGGTGTCTTGGTATAGGTACTTGAGTTTCAATCATAAGGTTGAGGGTTCGAATCCCAGCATGACACCAACGTCCTATTATCCACATTTGCCACTCTCCACCTCGGTGTTAAATGTGTACTCATTAGGATGCGAAAGTCATTGTAGTTTGCTCAACATTGTGAGCGTCTGTAAATGGCGCCTGGCTGGAATGCTCCCCAGGGAGTGGAGTATTTGCGAACATTGAGTGAGTGCGGGAGGAGCCTAAATCCGATGACCGTGGTATTAAAGGCATAGAGACACGTCGTCGATTAACCCAAGATGTTATATTTTGAAAGATTATATCCAATGATCCTTGATTTTTCCATTTAGGGAAGTGCAACTTTAGGTCTATGGCTATACTAATATAACCAGGCAGAGGGTGTGATACTGTAGGGGGGAGAAGGGAATTCTCGTTTGATGACAGGTCGAAAGCCAAACCCTACAATTAAATTGTGACTCTTTGATAGCGTATTATGTCACACAATCCATCCATAATATTTTGAGAAAGGGGTGTGTGCATGCTCAAACCGAAAGAAAACAACTCTCACTTGGAAATGCCCCTCGCTTTCAAAATTATGGACACTTCGGCGCGCAATGTGCTTATCTCCGAAAACAAACGCGAATCTAACTCGGAACTTCCAGGGCTATGAATATAGTGAAAACATAAGCGATTTTTTTTTTTTTTTGGGGGGGGGGGAAGATGCAATATATCAAACTGGGTGGGTGTGTTGTGGTTTTCCTCTGGGTGACGGTATAAAAACAAAACATATCGCGAGGCAATCAAACGATTAGCTAATTCACTATAGCAAATGGAATGGAAAAGACCCCTCAGGAAGGGGGCAATCCAGGCCTAATTATGACCGCTTTTCTGGTATAAGAGGTCATTGACTGGTGGAGTAGGGGGACCTTTATTGACCCCTTCGGGATTCATTTACGCTGTTTTGCTCAAATTTGTTCTCTTTGAATGCCACCAACTTGAACTAGGCTTTGTATTTGCGTGGGTCTTGTTTGTTTTCCTTCACGAGCAATAATTATTTCTAAAAAGCGACTGGTCTCACTTTCCATCCAAGATGATCAAGTTTCGGGTAATTATAGTTTTAAACAAATTTGACTTCCTGTTTGTACTTATTCTCAGTAAAATCACAGGGTGCATAAAGGAAGGAAGAAAGGGCAAATCGTTGATACAAATGAGAGTACAAAAACTTGGTACAGTGTAGTGAATACAAGTTAAAATAAAAACATTATCTTATCGATCAAAACATGATAAATGTTTAGATTGGAAAATGAGTATTGATTAAATTTTCAATACTGCTTCGTGATAAGTTTTCGAGTGAATTGTAAAAATTGTGATTGCAAAGGTAAATTTATAGTAATATCACTTTTAAGAATGGAAAGCTAGCTATGCCGTCTTCATCAATGTCCCAAAGATCCCATACTAACAGCCCCCTAACAAAACAAAAACAAACAAAAAACTGGGAAATGGTTTTAAATTTCTTTCCTTTTTCTCAGCCATCCCTAAAAAGATGAGAAATACATCTTTACATTAACATTGTGAACTATGGAATTTAAAGGAAGATTATGATAACAATGTCAAATCTCGCCATTAAAACAGGCATAAAAGTGAAACCCCTTTGTGTTGTCCAGGGCAAAAGAAAGGTCATTTTCGTGATTTCAAAGCCATCAAACCAACGGAGTGTAACTAATCAAACATTCATTTTATCATTATGAACCTCCCCTGAATACCCACAAAAATCACTTTCAGTATACTAGATTTCAATTTCCAGACACACATCACCATTGTGGTGTTAGTGTTGTAACAAGAACGTGAAAAATTGGAACCGAAATCGAGCAGCAACCAGTAAAAAAAATTACTCATTATTTTGAATGGCCTAAATATGCTTCACAGCTTTCATGTGATATTAATTTGTTCTAGTCAACTATCAAAATGTATTGAAAATAAGAAAAACTCGAAAATATGATGCCTGTATTTATAGACTATCGGGTGCACTCAAGCGTGGAGAATGAAATGGACATGACAAGATATGAGCACGCGTCGATGCATGGTTGGATGGATGCTGGTCATTGTCCAGTTTTTGTTTCGGGGTTTTTCTACCACGAGAGAAGCAGAAGTTCATCTTCAAATTACTTTATGCCTTTCTAGTTCTCAACTGACGATATCGTTCTGGTAGATTTTGGATACACTGACCCGCTGGGATTTTATACCAACTTGTCCCTATGATGAGTTCAAGAAAGAGCATGATGTTAATCCACATTAACTCACTTTTGCCACTCTCCACACAGGTGTTAATAGGTACCTGATATGCCAAAGCGCTACATAATTGGCTGCCAGCTATGACCGGGGTATACAGTTGAAGCGCCAGAGGCGTCACGATGTGACGGGCATGTGCGCTAGATAGGAAGCCACTATTATTATAAGTATTATTATGTCAATTTATTTGTAGATACATTATTGTATTGTTGTGAACATCTTCTTCTCATCCCTGAAATGTAAGTATTAGAATAGTTCCTCATGCATGTAGACGGTGCAGCTTTTGAAATATATTTTGTTAAAGATAACGACCAGTTATGGTCATGCTATTGCATTGTGAAAGAAACGTTGTGGAATCGATCAGAACAGGTTGATCTAGCATATAAGTATTGGTGTGTATACTGCAAGGTTCTGGAATCATCAAAATGATAAGAAATTTGGCCCAGTTTTGGTAAAGTTACAAGCACTGTACACAGAAAGATGTATATGGTACTATGCGATAAATTAGTATTATTATCTAAGGACTGGATAGATATAATAATTTACTAAATATATCAATTAATAGTAGGCGGTTTCCCGGGAAAATTTGTATGATCACGTGTTAGTCAAATGATTTCACATGATTGGTAATAAGGGCTTCCATTTCATTTTTTGAGAGGGGGGCATTTCCATAACTGGTCTATACCTTTAAGATTATCAATTTTAATTTGTATGTGGAAATATGTCATTATTATGTTTAACAGCATATAGAATTGTTAGTCTCTGCATTCATTAATTTTGAAGGTGAAGATGGTTTATAATAGTTTGCTCTAAATAAAAAAAAATTAAAAAAGGAATAATTGTATTCCCTTGTTGACATCGTGATCATGGTCATGTGAGTGTTTTCATAAGGGAAATTCAACCTTGAAAGCAAATAAAACTAGTCTAGAGGAAAGCAGACAAATCAGTGAAGTAGACTGGTGGAAGTTTGAATGAAATCGGACAAAAAAATGGAAAACCCTGAACTTTGAAAGTTGTAGTCACTATTATGTATGTGCTCTTCAAATTAGCTGATAATGGTAATGTCTTTATGATGTAGTGGCGGACAACTTTCCCATTTGTTCTAACACACAAAATGACACAAATTTCAACTTTTCAAAAATGTATGGCACAGGAGGGTCTTTTTTCTTTAGATGATCTATAATAACAACTATTATGCAATCCATTACATATTTTGCGTGGTGTCTTAGGAGGAAAACAGAAATTAATGATATTTTTGTACACGCCAAACGGGAGTTAATCGCGAATACTTCACAATCCACTATCAAACTTCCGATTTGAGATTCACATATAGACTTATAACATGTTTAAAACATTAGTAACTAATATTAGTCTGCTTTATTTCAATATTTTGCCATTCTGTTTATATTATTTACTTCCTTTATATAAATTAACTTATTACTTGTTATTTGTAAATCGTTTAATTGATAGAGAGAGAGAAAGAGAGAGAGAGAAAGGGGGGGGGGGGGGAGAGGGATTTTTAAAATTTTGTTTTCATTTTTCAATTTTTTTATAGATATAGGCCTTTAAAATAAATATAGCCTACAATCATCTGTCAGAGATAGCTTTTTATCTAGTTTATATAAGTTATCAAAAAGGATTTTCTATGCATTTTCTGAAAAGAAAAGATCTCTTTTCATGGAGACTGGAAACAAAATCATGTTTTCCTGAAGTTCTTATCAACATTCCATTACTAAACGTGGTCTTTTCGCAGACGACCTTTCCCTGACATCCGAGGTTGATCACCTGAATTCGATTTGAACCGTCAGATATTATCACCGATATATCACTTGACCGCCTCCTTTTATGACTACAAGACAGACACAAAGGATGCACAAGTTTTTACACATTTGTGTGTAATTCTCCAGTAATTGTTTACAAGAGGCAAATTTTACACCTCTTCGCTCTTTTGTCGGCGAAGAGCAAGGGGTGAATGTTTTGGTGTCCCGTTCTTTGCATGTAATTAGAGATCGGAGCGAGCCCAGGTCAAAACGGGCTCCACATCAAAGAAGCCGCTAAAGTTTGGCAGCACGACTTCCCTTCAACCAATCACCATCGAGGATCGTCCATTGTTCGCCGAGTTGGGTCATCCAATAGAATGGCGAGCCAGACGCCCATTCATTCACCATTGGCAGCATTATGTTTGCTTCGATAACCGAGCTAGCTAGGCTGGAAGCATAACACATACGGTGTCGTGCATGAGTGGTATCGCTAGCGCTGCGGCTCCGGTACCTTTGCTTGTTTTCTTCGCTGTGTCCTCGCTATATCTTGGATTGATTATACGGAAATTACGAGTAGTATATTATTTCAACGAGGCCCTGTGCAAGGAGACAGAGCTCTGTTGTGAAGCCAAAGATTGGCTGTAATTGTTTTTGAGGCGAAACTGATCATGGGGTTTGATATAGATCGGTTTTCTGGCCCGGTGGACGAGGATTTTAAATGCAGCATCTGTCTTGGTGTACTCGAGAATCCCCTTGCTACACCGTGCGGCCACGTCTTCTGCTCAAATTGCGTACTGCCGTGGGTCGTTCAAAACGGTAGCTGCCCGCTCAAGTGCGAAAAGTTCTCCACCAAGGAACTCAATAGTGTCCTCCCATTACGGAATCTCATCCTCAAGCTTGAAATCCGCTGCGATAACTTCCGCCGAGGCTGCCCTGAAGAAGTCAAGATTCAGATGCTAGCTCAACACATGGAGGATTGTGATTTCGCTCCCGTCAAGTGCTCCAATAAAGGATGCCAGGATGTGATTAACATCAAGGATCAGGCCCAACATGAAACTCAGACCTGTGAGTGGAGACCAGTTGGTCGTTGTGAGCAGGGATGCAGTTTGGTGCTTCAGTTCAACACCCGATCTGAGCATGACTGCCTCAAGGCACTGCAAAACCACTCGGGTGCCCTGCAGACCAAGATGAAGAACCAGGAACATAATTTGAAGAAGAATTCTCTTAGATATGGGAAGAGAGAGAAAGCTCTTTTGGCTCAGATTGCCTGCCTTCAGAATGAAATTCAGATGCAGGCATTGCGATACCAAAAGAAGCTTAATGAAAGCAAAGCCGAGATGGAATATATGTCAGCTGTTGCCTCATTTGAAAAGGTGAGGAATTATCTTTTAATTTTGTTTTGATCTTTAAATAATACTTTGGCATGAGTACTGATGTGAACAGGAAAAGTGAAGGATTCCATTTCGACAACTAACACATTTGAACGCACTTTATGAACTGACATTTCTTTTGTTTTATTTTTAATTTTTTTTAAAAATTAAAGTGTTGAAAAAGAAATGTTGTAACTATTAAACCCATTAAATGATAGGCCTACATTCAATATTATGAGCCAACCATTCTGGAAGCATACCATAGTCAGTTTTTTGAAATTTGATGCAATGGTGATGAGTTTGATACCCCAACCTAAACTTGAGATGGATGAATGTCCTGGTCTTAAATTTTCATACCTTTTTTGTAAATTGGACCCCATCCCTAAGCCCCCTGGAAAGGCCTTATACCAATTTCACTTGTTACCCGCTGTTCACATTACCTCAAAATTTCCGTCACGATTGGCTCTGCTGGATGTCGCACTTGCCTTTCCACTTTCTCTTGCCTATTCCTTTCAAAGTTGAAATGAAGGAGAATTGCTCAGCTATGAGTCGGATCACACAATTATGACACGCACCTGAAATGCTGAATTACCTTTATCACCAGAAGTGATGTTTTGAACGCTAAATGGAGTTGAAAGCTTCGTGCCAGATGAAATGCCTAATGTAGCTGTAGGCAGAGAATGTCTCGTATTCAGCTCTGTCTAGATTCATTTCCTATTCCATTTAGGAACTGATCATTTTGTTTCTTGAAAAAGGGTGAAAGAAAATGGAAGGAGCTGCATCTTAATACTAAATAGATGTCTTAATTGGAAAGCACTTATTTGAACTACATGATTATTTGTTATCTTTAAAAGCCCTTCCCATGTTCCCAGATAGTTTTGAGACTTATTATTCTTTGAGAGAATAAAAAAGTTAACAACCTTATCAAAATAAACTTAAACCATTTTGTCTTTTTGGATCCTAAGGCTAAAGGACGTAAACCCATATGATTTAACACCATTTTGATGTCAAAAAGATCACTTTGTCTTCTTTATATTTCTATTTTTCCTTTGCTCGTACATGTACATGTAACACTATTTAAAAAAAAGACAATCATTATTATTTAAGATGTTTTGATATGTCCTATTATATACCTCACTTAAGAAATCCAGCCATCTGATTGGTCGAATTGCATTCATAAACTTCAACTGTTCCTGTAAAATTCCCGGTAACCATGCATAAAACATTTACTATTTTTAATAACCATGGTTATTAAAAAAATAGGTCAGCCTCCATGGTTACCCCATAGGTTTACATGTTAAAAAATGGTTTGAGCGATCGAGGATACCGTATGTGTGCGAAGGATTGGTCGGTAATTTCAATACAATTGAATCTCGATCGATCTTACCGACAATTTTATCTTGCATTGTTGACATGAAGACGAAAATAAACTTCCAAAAACAAAAAAACAACATCTGCCGATAGATCTTGATCTAAGTTCGTGCCAATATGCATTGCAAAAGTAAAAGAAGGGTGCTTTTGCGAAGCATTCATCACGCCGAAGCCGGTTTCAATCCACTTTAATGTATATATTGTACAAAACTGCCAAGCTCGTGAACAGCGCGCGATGGCCGAGTGGTGTAAGGCGTTGGTGTAAGATTCATCACTCATTGTACGCGAGAGTTCGACTCTCACCTTCGACAAAAAAAAAATTATTTTTTATTTTTTATTTTTTAGTCTATTTTTTTTCGGCATATAAAAGTATTAATGACTGCTTTAATATTCGAGAAATAGTTGTTTTCATACGCTCTCGGGAAGGTTACAATTGGGCTATTCCCCTCGGCAAGCCTCGGGGAATAGCACAATTCTAACCTTCCCTTGAGCGTAATAAAACAACTATTTCTCTCAAAGCAGTCATTAATACTATACTACTACATGTAATACCAGTTGTTTAAATTAAAGAAAGTAAAGAAGACCTTGTAAAATGATTTTAGAATTTTAAAGAAGTACACTATTGAATCAATGCCGTCATTTATCTGACCTGATTACCTAGTAAGTGTCTTAACAAAAAGCGGTCCATCCCTGCAATCATTGATTACTAACTTGCAAATTGATCTTACTGTTCTCGACCAGCAAAGGGTATCGGAGCGAGGGATGTTTACTCTTCGCTTCATTGGAGCGTTTTCTTTAATCACCATGATTGAAAGAAACTAGCGTTTTACTCTGGTGGTGTTGAGGAGGAGTTGCTCATCCCTTGTTAGTACTAGCTATGAAGGGGTAACTTTCGTTCATCAGAATTAGTACTAAAAGCAAGGTCAAAACAGTGCAGTAGATACTTAACAAAAAAAATGGAGCTCGTGTTGGCCTAGGGATTATAATTTACAATAGGTAATAAAGTGACTTCTGTCTTCATTTATTTTCTTCTGGGTGTATCCAATCAATGACACTTGTATGTTTGTAAAGGAGTTTGACATAGTACAAAAGTCATTCACCTCTGTGAAAAATCATCATCCAATGTATGTAACTACATGGAAGTAGGTTTATGAATCACTTTAAGTACTGGTAATATGTTAAAGGTGCAATGATATAAATATTTGCATATATGTAAAATTACATGTACATGTCCCTGCTGATGGTCTGACTTGTTTATATCCTACATTTTATAGTATTTATCAATGTTTCAATATAATGAATGAGGTTACTATTTTTCTTGGTCCCAAGAAGTTTGTTGTTGTGGTAGCCTACATTGTACATGTTTATACATGCAATGCATGCACATACTTTATAAAGAAATGAAAATCATGGGATAAATAAAGTGTATTTTGTTACCTTCTTATATCCAGTACTGTACACTGTAATTTTGAATCTATTTATTGCTCTTCACAGCCATGGGAAAATACTACCATACTCTCCCTTCGTCTGGGTCGCCAAGATGGCAGCCTGGGATTCAACATCATTGGTGGCAGCGGGATAAGTCAGGTTGGTAGAAGCAAACATTCACTTCTCTTTGTTTTCTTATTGTATTTATGTTTTTGCTCATAAGAATCAATTGATCTGTTGAGAGCTGGGAGGATGTTAAGGGACTTGGTAACATTGTTCAGGTGCTAAGGTAGTGACTTCAAATATAATTATGCTAGATGTACAATAATGAAAGATAATCTGCAAGTTTGAGTGAAAACAGACTATTATTAATGAAAATAATTGGTGAAAACTCATATGATCGATTCCTTTATTCTCCCAACTATATTATTACAAATTAATTACATTTTAGGTGAATGTAAATTGGCATAAAGCAATGAATTGGCTCTATACCATTCCAGACATTTAACTTTGGAAAGATTTTTAAAAGCCTGTCTGATGTCTTATTTTCATGGATAAACGGTTGGGAAAAATCTGGAAATTTCAAAAATAGTTGGGAGAATTTACTGTTAGAGGGTGTCGCACAGTGTCACCTTCAAATAAATCCACAAATATCTTTGTGGTTTGAGAATTTTTTTCAGGATTTTTTGCATGCTTGAGGGTTAGAACAGTAGAAGGAATATAATAAATAACATTTCATACAAAAATTACGGTACACAGTTTTTTCATCAACCTTCAACAATGTTAGTGAGTCACTTTAAGTCTTTAAAGGACATGTTTTAATCCCCTTCTGGCTCTCTCTCAAGTCTTAACAGACAAATTGATTTTTAAAGGAGCATACACAAAAAACCAATAAGAATGAGTCTAGACTTATAAGTGGAAGCCATAGACAACACCCACAACAAGCCTCCCCTATTTAAAGGGAAAAAAAATGTACAAATGGGGCTCTTAAAAGCTTAATAAGCTTAATAGCACAAAACAACTAGTAATTTTTAGAGAGGCAGTGAAAATGATGGTATACAATGGTCGTTTATTTTAGTTTTAACTTAAAATTTGACCATCAAAGGAAAATTCAGGGGCTATTAAAAGTTTTACAAGGGCAGTTTTAGTACTTTGTTGGGGCAAAACCACCCTGAGCAGAAGCAAGGAAAGTTTACATGTTAAATGTACATTGGATTATGATAGATTACTACTTAAATGTCTGATGTGGGTCACCATGTCAAGATATAAAGACATCCAGCTTTTGCCCATTGATTGATTGATGTAATGAAGCACAATTATTGGTGCTCTCTTTATATGTGGGAAGGGTTTGAAGCAAATTGGAACAAGGCATGTATTGATCAGTTTCAGGTATTAAGAGACTTAAACTCTCTCCACAAATCAGCATATAGCTGACCACAGACAGATCATGGCCCTTTTGGAGCTGACTCAGAAAAGATCCAAGAGAATTTAGTGCTCGAGATTCCAAAGGACCCAAACAAAGATGGAAGACAATGCGTAGTCATTGACGAGGGTTTTTGAGGGACGACGGAAGAATAGAGAGGGAGAAAAGACCGCAGTAATTCATGATATTGTTACCTGCATTCCAGTGTAAAGTTTTCTTTGGAGTATTGAAGAGAGGGGTGAATTATCGAAAATTGTTCCTGGTGCCAGATGAAGTGCCGGGAGAGACAAGAACAAAGGCTCTGCAGACATTCCCAGATGAAAGGATAGAATAGAGGTGGAAAATGGAAAGGACATGAAGAGGCTAACCGTCTGTTTCTTTCAGAGTTACACAAACCACTGAGTTCTGTTTTGAGAAGAGTGCCATGTTTGTGTCATCTATTGCCCAAATTTGTTTGCTTTTAGGTCTGGTATGATGAATTAGCAATCAAATAAAATTGCTTTAAATTGGTACATCAAATAGACCAAGAGTAGTTAAGAGTCTTAAATGTATTGGCTGTAATAGACAGTCCTGGTGCCTCAAGATTAAAATATCTTATAAAAATTACATAATTGGTACAGCTGTTCCATAATGTTGCATTTATTAGGTAGATTACTATTCAAACTTTTTGTCATCTGTGTTACACATTTGAATGCTATCTACATGTACCTACCCAAATGTTTTCTGCCAAGTGGCCAATGGATATTAAAAAGCTAGACTTAAAAGTCACAAGGACAGCCAGATACGGGAACAAAAAGCATCCAGCGAAAAGCCCAACAATAACGCTCTAGCAGCATCAATGATGATTTGATAAATGGATGCCATATCCAGGCCAGAAGCCAATTGAAGAAATGGAGACCGTGAAAGGTTTCACCCATTACTGTTACAAAAGGCCTGTTTGATCTGGAAGCACACCATCTATCTCATCGTTTATCAAGCGAAATGTAGCAATGTTTTAGGATTCACGCTGCTCTACTAAACTTATTTTTATAGAGATCAAGGGAGAGAGTGATCTAAAATGCCATGCAGTAATGGGATGTGGTACAGCTACATGTACATGTATCAAGAGATATATCATCCTCTTCATCTTTATAAAAAAAATATTATTGAAAACCTCATAGGTTTAGATATTGTTTTATTGAAAATTCTGGAAGAAATCCCTTTAATCAGTTGCACAATACAACATTTATTGACAATAATTTTTCACACTTACATGTGTATCTACACATGTACTTTGTAGGATTCACATGTATCCTAGAATTATGGGTACTGTGTCATCAGTCATTTCCAACAAAATTACAAGTTTAGCCTGACACTTTATTTTGGTATTAAATCTGATTGCTGTACTTTGCCTCTCAGGAATAATTGAAAACCTAAAGCAGTATGTTCTGTATAACTGGCTATGACCAAAGTCACATAAATAGAAAATTGAATATCTTGTGACAATCATAGTATCCATAAATGTATTAGATGTTGCTACATCGTCCTGTATTGTATCCAATTACTGATGAATTTCACACCGGAGCTGATACGCAAATCCAGCGCATCAATACTTTTTTCCCTCTCCTGCGCCTGCCCAGATAGGTATCAGAAATATTGCCCCAAGCTCCTGTCGAAATTGTCATCGTAAAAGGACGCGGGTATCTCTATCACTGAGGAATCGAAAGGAAAGATGGCTCGAGATGAAAGAGATCTTTGAAAGAGGAAACTGGCCCGCTTGTTATAATGGTTTGCATTCTCGTTAGTAATTCATTCATAAGAAAAATCTTAGATAGGGTGTGTGTAAACAATACAAGTTTGACTATGGACAAATATGCAAATCAAGAGGCCGGTGGTGACAGCTGCTTCTCTGTTTCTTTAGGGCATCTACTTTTTCCCCCCCTCCCTCACTCTTTTTGTCATATTTTCTGTCATGAGGATGATCTAGATAAATTTAACTGAAACTTTCATTTCTTTAATGTGCAAAAGTTTGATTAGAAATATTAACCTTTGATTATATTCATTTTTTTCTTCAATATGTACATGTACGTAAGCAAACCATTTTAGCCTTCTAGTTTTAATGTTTAATAGTGAAAAATACATGTTTAGAAAAACGATAACTTGTTGTTTACATGTAGATTGTGTTCTAATTAGCGTAAAAGTAGCAAAAATGTATCAAAGACATTAAATGTATGAGCTGAAAAAGTTACATCTTGAACCCCTACAACTTCACCCTAGAGATGACAAAGTTTAAAGGTAAAGACCAGTTATGGTCATGCGATTGCATTGTGAAAGAAACGTTGTGGAATCGATCAGAAAAGGTTGATCATCTAGCATCTAGCATCTGCAAGGTTCTGGAATCATCAAAATGATAAGAAATTTGGCCCATTCTTCGTAAAGTTACAAGCACTATACACAGAAAGATGTATATGGGACTACCCTATATCTCTCACAGACCATGAGAGAAACAAATTTACCAAATATATGGATTAGTAGGCGGTTTCCCGGCAATTTTTTTATCATCATGTATTAGTCAAAACATATTCTTTCACATGATTGGTAATGAGAGCTTCCATTTCATTTTTTGAAATTGGGGCATTTCCAATACTGGTCTTTACCTTTAAAGGTACTATGTCCCTTTTGCAGCCAACCTCAAATGCTGTATAACTTTGCAGGAATTATGAATATGTCATGTATGTCCTATCTGTGAAATTTAAACGTTAGCAGTGTCCTCATATTCAAATTATGCTGGAAAGTGGAAACCCGTTTACTTGCTAGACTTCACTGTCAGACACTATTGAGTGACTGACTGGCTTTTTTTCTTCTTTGGTAATAACATACATGAAAAGAGTTGTAAAGGGTACATGAGCATCTGTCTACATCAATAACCCACTTCTTGTGATGGCCAAGATTAAACTGATTTAATCTTTGCGCAGCATAAAACGTATGACCATTCGGTACAATTGACTGAAAATCAAGACTGTTACTTTTGGGCTCTATAGCCCTAAAGTCGATTTGACAACTAATAGTCATATTTTCCCACTTGAAGACATTTTCAAGCCCCACCTTTTTTAGGGAAGTTCTAAATTAGTATTATCTTTCAAATGCAGTTGGAATTTAACTTTTTCATTTTTTTGGCTTGCAAATGGGACATAGTAACTTTAATAGCCTGACAGGTTTGTAATCAATGTAGGCTGCAGCCATGTTAGAACAGGTATACACATACCACTGCTGCTCTGGGATACCTACATCTGTATAGGTAAGTCAACCAAGGTTAGATCTGCTGCTCTTATACATGTACATGTACATGTACATTGTACATGGCAGCAGTGCTAGGCAGAGAAATGGTCACACCACCACCAACCTCCCTATTTATGTACACTGGTATCCAAATATGGCCATGTAGATATGGGGCTAAGCCCAAACACACATACTTAGTTTGAATGGGGGAAAATGTTACAAGAGATTAAACATGTTTCGTCAGGACTATAGCCAGGGTGTATGTTCAGGTGGACCAAGTCTTACTCATAAAAGGAGGGGTGCCAGTACAGATTATGGGGTTTGTGCTTTATATTTTGCATTACAAAGGGACCTAAGATTATTTAATGTTTGTTTGGTTGTGATAACAAGTTAAGACCAGATTTGAAATTTTTGTTGGAAGTTTGCTGTACCATGTTCTGCTTGTGAAGACGAATACATCAGATTGATTGGGAAACTTAATTTGGCTCCAAAAAAAGAATTGTATGTTATGTCTTAACTCCCCCAACAATATGTCATAAATTGAAAATTACGAAAATAGAAGTATAATTGTGTGGACAAGGTAGAGTTGGATCTCTTTGTACAGTAGACATGGATGGTACAAAAGGTCATGTGAAATGTAGGCTACATCTTTGAGTCTGCTTTTAAGGGAGAGATAAGGAGAGTTTGTTGAACAGATTACTGAGCTGTCTTATGAATCTGACTTCTTTCATAAGTTACTTTAAAAGTTAAACACCTTTTTAGTGACGTTTTCATGATGGGAAGGGGTAATTGCAAAGAAAAGGTGCAAAACCAAATTTTTTCGTTCAATGGCGCAAAGTTTGCATCCAAAATATCTGACAAACAAGAAGAAAAGTGGTCAAGGTCTCAAAATCTTGAAGATGGGACTTTGCTAGAAATGCATGCTAATTTGAACTTCATGTTCATTAGTGAATGTAGCTCTATCTGATGGGTCTACATAAGTCTGTTGCAGCTAATTGATAAATTTAGGCCTACCTCATACCCATATACTTAGTGATTGTCTTTACCATATAGGCCTACATGTACATGACAAGACTGCATTGTGTGTGCACATGGTGAAGCGTACAAATTGTTTGCACACCCTATTCCTGTGTAAGCTTACATTGATTGTTATCAATCAGTGTAAAACATACACCTAGGCTTGTCCTAGTGTTCATTGAAGGCCATAAACAAACATGTACAAACACAGACATGTACATGTACATGTAGACTGATTTTTTCATATTCCACATAAAAAAAACATAGGCATATTCTTGCATTTTATTCTTGCAGTGCATAGCCAAAACTATTATACCAGAATGGAGGACATATTTTTGTTTCATTCTTTTCCATATCGGTTATTTTTTTCCAGAGGAAATATAAGTTTCTTCGAATTCTGCGGCATGTACATATAGTATTTTGAGGGTAGTACATACCCAAGAGAATAAAAAGCAATCAAGTTCGTTCTAAATCCATCTTGTTCAATTTAGCATCAAAAAGTTCTTTTTTAAATTTATCATGCAAGTTCTAAGAAAAAGTGACTTTAACTAGAGGGAGTATTGAAATACAAAAATTGTTTGTGTATATTTCCATAATTCAACTTTGAATTTTAACCAACACACATTCTTATCAAACAAAATCCTATAGATGCTAAGAATATCTTTCCAACATAATGCATGTTGTCAAATAAAAAGCCAAATACAGTGTAATACAGCCAACATGTATGATGTACTATGGAGGTTAATAGGGTACATCTGGGAGCTAAGATCTACATCTCAAAAAGCCTCAAGACTGTTCAAAACAAAATATTCTCTTTATTTCTGGGGGCAAATACGTCTGGGGCCGAGAAACCTTGTGTTGGGAGCCTAAATTAGAACTGTAATCTCCGCGGGTCAAAGTTCGAGAACAAAAGTTGCTTCAAATCCCCAGGAAAGGATCAAATGTATAAATTGGATTTTTAGAGGAAGAGTGTTACACATTCTTCGTTGGAGAGGAAGAATTCTTGGCATGACAAACATACTTGGCAGGAGTTCAGAAAAACAAAGGAGTCCAGACAATATCATGGGGATATATTTTTTATTATTCATAGGAATTGAATATTCTTTTTTTCAACCAGGGAGATGCAAGTTTTACCAATCAAATAATTGTTTTCAGCTGCAAGTCACTGATTGTATTACTGTTACTATAATGTACATTGTAAATTGAAGTGTATAACCTGATTGAAAATACCATTTACTAGATCAATTTGATAATTAACACTCAGATAATCCAGGATTATTAATAATGAGCTGATATAATAAATATACAAAATATGTTAAAGCCTATCGCTGTAAAAAATTCCCGTAATTGTTCTCTTAGTTTTTCTATTAAATGTACTGTTTTAAAAGTTAAGATCCACTGTATTCATACAGTAGATCTTAACTTTTAAAACTGTACATTTAATATTGACTGATTTCACAATATTTGTACAAAATACTTTTCTCTCTGATACATTAATAAAATGTATGTGCTCTTGATTCCATGTTGGGTATCCCCTTATCATTTGTATGCCTTGCCCTTTGGAACTCTGGGTTACCCCCGACAACAGGAAGAGTCAGTAAAGAATGAGGGTCAATAGAAAGTAATGCTGTAAATACAGCAAGCTTTACCCAGTGAATCCTCTGTCTTAAGGATGAGCCCAAAGCATGTCTCTATGACTGGGTCTTGTCTAAACATCGCATTCTATCTCGCTCAGGAATGTCCAAAGTTGATAGATATGCAGATGGGAGCTGGGATGGCATCCCTGGAAGAGACGATGCAGGCCTTGCTTCCTCCTTCTTTCCTTGTTCTCGTCTCTTCTAGTGATGCAGTCCAACCTCTTCTACCAAGAAGAACCTGTCACATCTTTCAGATAGCCTTTGGGAAATGTCATCTTTGCTCTTGACAAGTATAAACGAGGGATGACTATTTTTGAGACAAGAGGAACAGGAGTTTGAAATCTTAGTGCAGATGATGGGAGAGGGAATTCCAATGTTTCCTTGCCTCCCTCCCCACCCCCTTGTTATTCTAGATTTATATTCATATTTGTCCTCCTATTGCTTTCTGTAGATGTATTCATTGTATTGTCAAATAATATTGAATTTAGCCTAGATGTGTTATTGTAGTTAGGACAATATGTAACCAGTATTTTAAGGTGTGAATAGTTGCCTTGAAAATGTTTTCATTTTATAACCCTTCCCTTTTCTGTCTGGAAGAAAATATTTTCTTTTAGATGCCTCGATGTGGTATGAGTAATTTGCCCAAAGGAAAGATAAAGGAATGTAGGCCACGTGTATGTAGGCAGGCAGGCCTGCAGAATTTGTGGTCCTCCCCCTCCCCCTAGCTGCAGAACTCATCACTTGGATGTTTTCACAATCAATAACACATTTATCAATGTTTACATTTATTTGTTTGTATTCCTCACCTCTTCACCTGTCATCCCTAATTTGTTTTTCCCCTTTTCATTTTTATCACACTCCCAAAATATATTTTGAGCATGCTCATCAAGCCACATGGTGCCTGTCTTTTTTAAGAGCAATAATAATGATTTTACCAGGCATAAGTTTAAATGTACCCGGAATCAGAACTCTTTCCCTGTTCATACATGTACATATAATAGATTACAGCCATCCAACACAGTTGTAATGTATCATACTCTGGATTCCAATGAAATTGTTATATCAGTACTTTGCAGAAATTACATAACATCGTCTAAAGACTCCTAAACAAACTAACACTAAGTTATTTTATCAATTGAATTTGTATCATCTTTCTATTTTCTTCAGAAGTGTAAAGTTGAGCACTGAGAACGAGAAAATGTATATTGTGACATTGTTATATATCCCTTTTCCCTTGGTTTTCCGTACAGGGTGATGGTGGTATCTCGGAAGGAATAATTGTATCAAGAGTGAATGAGAAAGGTCCTGCAGACAGATCACAGCTTCAGGTACATGACAGGATGATTGAGGTGAGTCCAATTAAAGGGAGTATCAGGGATTTTTTACTGATATTCTGAAGTTTTAAACTTTAAAATGCTACATCTTCCATGAGCATCTTAATTTCAAAGCTTTTGATTCATTCATGAATAGAACAAAGGATGTCCCTTTAACTGAAATTGTTAAATAATAAATACCAAATTTTGTTCTACTCAAGATGTTTGCTTTTTGAAATTTGCAGGAAAGCAGACTTGTAAAGATCATAGTTTTTTGTACAAAACTACCAACTGTATAAGAATGCTTTATTTTGAATATTTATGATGAAATAACATATATTCTGAGAGGAATTAAAATAATCAAAATTCTATGGGTAAGTAGAAAGTAGTGTTTTGGTTGTTGGGTTGAATTGTTAACACCCATGTCAGTGTGGTGAATGTTTTGTGATCGATACAATCTGATGTCAGGTTGAATGTGTACATCAGGACATGCGTGTTCATGTTCATGTATGTTGTCTAAGTCTGATGATGCATCAAGCGAGGACAGTACTTCATGTACATGTAGTATGGAATCAAATTCAGCCCGTCTATCAGTGGCCATACCCCATGGGAAATCCGTCTGGATTCTCAAATTTACTACCAAATTTTCACTGAAACGTGTAAATTGAATTTGTCCCTTACATTGTATGTATGTCAAGTACAAAGAGTTCGCAGTGAATATGAGGATGCGAGCCGGTCCCAAATAAAATGTGACAGACAACTCGTCAATTATGGTTTCTGTGGGTGACGTGTTTGTTGGCGGAGTATTCCCCATCCATAGTCGCGGGATTAGTTCTACAGATGCACGTTACTCGCTCGGGGAACCTCCCCTGCACTTACGCTTTACATCTGTTTCGATTGTGCGCAGTGACACACTTAGTTATGCAGAGGTGGTGATAGCCTGCTGGGTAAATTGAGTCCACAAGTCTTGGGTTTAATAGCGATACCATCTTTAAAAGCATGTTTTCACTGCCGAGTTATTCCGAGTCGTCTCGGACTCAACCATCACACGCACACATGTACCCCCAGTGATGATGGTGTCATGCACACATTTGACATGAATGCTGACAATGAGAGCATGTGTTTTGTGAGAATGTTGCTGGATATGATGAAAGTGAGACCAGTCCGATGTGCTAGGGAGTTGGTAGATATTAGAATACAAACCGGCGATAGATAGTATAGGGCCATTGAGATTGATTGAGTACACATGCCCCGTGATATGTTTACGCGGCGGGATGCACAGATCTGGCACAGCACCGTGGAAGCAATTTGTAAATTATGCTTTGCTCCTTATGCTTGGGTTCTAGGATGAGGATTACATTTAGATGGAGAGCATGTAGACGAACAGATTGTGTGATTGATCACAATTGTTCTCCATGCCTCATTCATTATCAAACCCAATCAGACTCCCCCTGTAGTCCCATCCATAAGGATGTGTGTTTGAATAGTTCTTGACTTCCAAATGATCAGAAAAAGGCAGCAAAATATTATTGAATATTATATTTGGTATTATAAATAACTGATGTTACACGGATTAAAATCACCTTGTTTGAAAACATTTTGGTATTCTAAAACTTCAATTACAATTATTAGATATAGGCAAACATTTTCAGGCGTTGCTCTGAAATCGGACAAAATATGAAAATGATTTTCAGTATTCTCTAACTCTCAGCTGTTGACATGTGAAGTGATTTTTGCGAAGGTAACAGCATGCAAACACTAAGCTGGCATTTAAAGCCAAATTGTGCATTGATCCTAGATCTTTGAAAAGAGTGATTGATTTGTTTTCAGCTGCCAACAATACCTCGCGATATATTCAGAATGTTTGGATTCCTCTTTCATTTGAGGTGCTGCATGCAGGGTATCGAACTATCAATGCCATTCACAATTCAATACACTCCACATTTCACCCAGTCTTTCAAAAATAAAATTTCAAGAACAAATTGTCGCATTGCTTTTTATTAGCTTTTATTGTTTGATAGTGAAATTTTGATATATATGCAATATTGTTCTACATCAAAGAACGATCTTGTGGTTGAAAGTTATATGTTCAAGAATAGTGTGATCCCTGAAGTTAGTTGTTTGGTTTACCCATGAGGAAATCAGAAGTGAAAAAGTTTTTACATTCTGTAAACCTTGACACCTTTAGTTACTTAGAATGTAGCCCATGTGCAGCCCTGGTTATTCTGATTAACTGTATGTTTTAGGTGTTTCAATAGCATCTGCAGTGGAAAATGTGTTACCCTCATTCCATAATAGACCAATGTACAGGTACATGTAGACTACTGGACAATTTGAGAATGTTCACTTTGGGTGCGTTTTGAGGACCACTAATCTTTGAAGTGTGAACCAAGATGTTGTTCTCTGGGAAATTACTTGGCTCTAAGCCTTTTGCATATATTATCATTTATATTTCCATTTCCATGTACAATGTAACCCTTTCATATATATCCTCGCATATCTTCCCCTTGGGACCGAAACGCATATTGAGGAAAATGGCAGAAAACTAAATTGTGATGGTGCTCTGTAATGAGTGAGTCACATGGCCACACAGATTCCCCAATTTACCATCAATTTCATAAGTACATTGCTTGTTTTCCAAAATGGCCCTCGCATGTCTTCCCGACATCTTTGGGACAGACTTCGCCGTAATGGCAGCGTGCTCTCCGCTCTCATCCAAGATGTCGTAAATCATTGATTTTGATGAAACGAGATGAACCAGGGATGATTGTACGCAGCCAGCTTACTGGAAGAGTGCGTACTACTTACTTTGGTCTAACCTAGCATTAACCTAATGTCCACGACTATGTCACTAATGCTGCGATGGTAAACTGAATAAAGGGAGCACGGGAGTGGGTGATTGGTAGAGAAATGAGTTTAGGAATCGCCTCAGGGCATCAATTTCATGTGAATACGGTCCTGGTATTAGATGCTTTACATGAAGAGCGTACCTGTAGGTAAATGAACTTAGGCTGTTCATTGTTAGAAGGAAAAAGAAATCTTAGATGCAGATTTTACTTTGAGGTAGGAAATGAGAGGTATGATACAATTTGATGTAAAGATTTGATTCCAAGTCACCGCATTATATGAACTAACCATAAAAAAAGACTTTCTTTATATGTTTGTAGACGACTTCATTCACTTTTATGTGACATCTGTCTTTTCAAGCAAATGAAATCACATTTAATTTAAGTACTCATTGACTGTCTAACATGGCATGGACTTCAGAATGTATGATACAAGTACAATCCAGTGTACTGTACATGTGATACATGTATACGTCTCCTGTTTTGAATATTATAAACTTATGCCACTTGAGCGGGATAACTGTAAAGCGGTATCTACATGTATTTAGTGCCAATTGTGGTTTTCTGCCTTCCAAAGAGGAAGCACAATGCAAGTCAAAAACTCAATTAGGAGGAATCTTTTCAAGTTAAAACTGGTCATCAAAAAGTTGAATAAGTGGTTTATCGAGGATACCACACTAATCAATGCTTTAGCAAGTGGTTGTATCCTATGAACTAGTTTTTTTCCTATGTGAAATAATAAGTACCATTATAAAATAGTTACATATTTATGCAAGCCATGTTTTGAATCATTAGGTTTTATTGAGTTTGCATAATTTTGAATAAAGATATAGAACGAAGATAGAATTGTTACCAACTGTGCTTTGTAAAATTTGGGAAAACAACTGAAATGGTTTTGGTTAGAAAAATGTGGCATTTCATATCCAATTTACTTCATGTTGACAAATATACACATACACACACAGAAAATACATGTAAAGAAACCTCATTGATCCCCAAGAAATATGTAAGCTTGAGCCAAATATAAAAGAAACCCTGAAATTTCTGCCTAATGACGAGGAAATTAATGAGGCAGAAGATTGATGATACTTGTAAGAAGGATGTTGATACAAAGCGCAAGGAAAGAAGAATCGGTAAGAAAAACATCAACAGGAAACTGCTGTATATACTCCAGTGCTCTTCTATGGCTTTGTCTTGGGTTATTCTCAACTCAAGAAGGAGAAAGATATAGTTGCTGTATTTTGCAATGTCAGTGACCCTTTAAATTGGTCTAGAATCGGTAGGGATTCACTCCCCACGCCTGATTTAATCCGGTAATGAGAGTTATCTGCATATTTTGTCTGCCTTGGTATGGTGTTGGGTTGGTGTGTGGTTTAATTTGACAGAAGCACAAGATCGACTTTGTATGGGTATTAATTGGGGATTCTCTGAATGGAATGGGTCCTGTGTAATGCCACTTGATTGTTAGTTATTTTTCTTCTTACTGTTAATTATGGTTAGGGATGTAGATCATGTTGACTTCATAAGAAATAGAAAAGTACAATGAACTGTTAATACCCAACCCATTTCTTCGTTCTGAATAGAAAACAAAATCATGCCGCATTTCTTATAGACTAATTTCTTAGTACAGGTTCATCTTAAATTCTGTATGTATGTTCTTATTTGGGATATTTGTTTAAATAAAAGAAAACAAATTCTTTTATTATCTAGATATATCCATAGAAAGCCAAAATAAATTGTACATAGATGTATAGGCAGTTTACCACATGTCTTTTATTTTTTATTTTTTTCTTCGATATCTGCAATAAATAAAAAGAGCATAAAAAGAGCTTACTGTTGGATCTCAAAGATTGGCATTTACAGTTTTGAGGTCACTTGGTAAGCCAGACCAATTGACCTTTGGTCCAGGTCAAGGCATATTTGACCCTGACACATGCCCTCAACCATGCCTCAAGGAAGCAACTGTCCAATCAAGACTATGGATAGTCTGATGTTCAAACTCTCTCAGTTCATGTATGATTCAAAATTAGGCCGATAGTATACATGTAGAGTAGACCTGGTTGTATTGTAAAACTAGAATGAGATGAAGCTTTCCTGGATAATAAGGTCCTTTTTTTAAAGTTTTGGCAATTCAAATTTTCATTTTTATTGTATTTCAATATTTTGTGGCTTTTAATTTCTGTAAATCTTGACCAGTAGAAAAATTATAGACAGTTTGTTTTGTGTATTACTAGGAGTTAAGTATATTCATGTTTGATATTATTACAAAAGCCTGGCATCTGTTAACTTCATCTGCATAAAACTGGTATCCCCCGCAATAAAAGAGCATTTCTAATGCATGCACGTACAGTACTACAAAGCCTGTCCTTTTGTGTTCAGGCTTCTTTAACTAGCTGACTGCTGTTCAAGAAATGTTCATGTCAAAATGTGTTTGAAAGAATAAAACATGAAACGGAATAGGCAGAAGATGTGTTAAGTAAGTTTTGTAACAGTGTAAGCTTCACACCTTCCTGAAAGAAACCTTGATAAACATGTCTGAGGCATTCAAAAGTTACAGACTGGTAGGTGATAGGTAGGCGGATTAAAATTCAAAAGCAAGGGGATTAACTTAGCGAAGGTCATCCTGCAACATGACGACCCGCACCATCATGTTTTTCATCCCCGTACTGAGGGCCTACGGGACATTTTTGCGATGGTATCGAATGTTGCAAGGATAGCAGTCAGACCTGTCATATGAGCCTGTTCAGATACCCGTCATGTTTTCTCTGTCCCACCGGTTATTTTGGAGAGCCGCAGAAGAAAATTTCCATGGGGAAGTAAGATTTTCATCACATTCAGGTTTCGATTGTGGCTTGTTTATCTTCCGCGATATATCCTACTTATTAGTATCGTTTCTGATATCATATTACATCAATCATTAACTATCTATCCTTCCGCTTGATACAGAAGTACATGACTGTATGCTCTGGTGCTATTCTATCTGTTTAGATCCAGAAGGGTGCCAACTCTTTTAAGAATAAAGAGTACTATATGCATCAATGCTTTTCTGGCTCCCAGCAGACAATATTAATTGTGTGTAGCCTCTTTTCTAAAGTTCCTGCTTTAATCAAGCAGCAGCTTTATGATGTTCTTGTTAAGGTCGACTAGTAGGTCTATTCGCTTTACGACTAGAAGGTCTATTCGCTTTAATACTCCCAACCGTTGCTATTCCAAAATGCATTTGAATGCTTTCTAATTCTTCGTAATGCTTTCCCAACTACCGAAACGTAGTATTCTACCGTGAGTTTATCTCTCACATGTACTTGCCAAATCCATTCCGTTGATTCCACACCCCTTCAGTTTAAGGCCGGGATGAGCTCAGCCAAAGAGATTTGGATGAAGCTCTGATTAAAATCTCCTTAAACACTATGCAGAAGACAGTGCGGTCACCCTGGCTATTGTCCGCACTAGCAAACTTGTTTTTAACCTGCACCAACTGAGCATCAACAACGACAGGGCCCGCAGTTGTAAATGGACAATAAACAAAATCATCTGCAGTGAAAGGGAAGAAGTGGGAGTGTATTAAAGACTGTTCTTTCCATTCTTTTCTTCACCACTGAATGGTTCTTTGCTCAGTTGGTCAGTGAATGACTGGCTGAATCTGAGGTGATGTCTGGATATGGAGAGACATGGAAAGATAAAGGGAGTGAGAGAGGGGTCCAAGAAAGAGGGAGAGAGGGAGAGAGAGAGAGAGAGAGAGAGAGAGAAAGAAAAAGAGAAAGAAAAAGAGAACATTGTAGCACGTTGCTACAGCCTACAGGGTCTTTGTGATTCAGAATGAATCCTTTCAAGAACTCTTGACACTCGTAGCACACATGATTGTATCCCTTCCAAACCCCAAGAGATTTCTTGTCAGCTTACAATGTACACTGC